CTCTCTCTCTCTCGCTCTCTCTCCCTCACTCTCTCTCTCTTGTGTGTGTGTGTGTGCGTGTGTGTGTGTGTGTGTGTGTGTGTGAGGAGATAGTCTGGCATGTGCATGCCTCGTTTCTGCTGTGCATACAACACACTCATGTTCATGCACATAAGCACGGACACACAGGAAACTGAGGGTGTCATCCAGGATGGAAGGGATGCGCGGGGCGTGCATGGAGAGAGAGAGAGAGAGAGTTTGGGTGTTTGGAAAGAGGGTGGGTTGTGGGGAGGGGACACTTGCAAGGTTGGCTGTGTGTGCACAGCCACCCATGGTACAGTGGTTGTCTATGAATCACATCTATGTATACTAATTGGAAGTAAGATCATTATGGAATGTGAACTACGAATAACTAATTGCCAGCAGAGAATCTTGAAAACAATTGACCAAGGAGTCAGTCATCCATGTCAATAAGGCGGTGAGAAAAAGGCAGTAGAGCAAAAGACATGGAGGCAACTAGGCATTGAACGACAAGCGGCAGCAAGGCACATAGGCTGGAGGGCACAGGGGAGGCAGGTGGGCAGACGGACAAAACAAGGTAGCGAAGCGAAAGGAAGACAAAAGACAGTGAGGAAAGTGCATCCTAACAGCGAGGGGCATAGCCTGGAGGGCAGGGGGAGGTGGGTTGGCAAACAAACAGTACAAGTACGGCCCCCCCAAAAAAGTGAAAAAACACAACAGAGTATGGTAGATTGTTTTGTTAGAATTGCACCGACTCATCAGGAGGAACCCTTGAAAGTGGATGGCCTGCAAACAACGCCACAAGTGGAGTCCCCATTTTAATGCTTTGGGTCATGAACCCTCTGGCCCCAGTTGAAAGTGAACGCCACAAGTGGAACATGGCAGTTAGGCAATGACTTAGGGCATACTACTGACACTATCGATTTCCTAAATGTATCTGACGGCAATCATGGCCACACCTGGATGCATCTGACTGGAATCATGTCCAGAGCTTAGCCGAAAAGGGCCTAGCGTGAGTATGTGCCTTAGCACAGCAGCAGGCAATGTTGCCGAGCACCAAGTGCACAGCGTCAAGCTAACTGTATGGATGGAAGAGCACTGCAAGGAGACGGCCAACAAGAGGCAACAATACAGCCAACTGGGTGTGTAGCTCATTTTGTAAGATGCACAGGCAGCATTTAGGAGGTTGAGGGTTCACGTCTTGTCTCATTTGCATATCTGTGCCTGTGGCATGCATGGTGCCTTATCATTGATATAACAAGTTGGCAAGGCGGTACGTGGTGGCTAAGCGGGTGAGAGCCCTGGCGTTGCGATGGGGAGGTGGTGGGTTCGGCTCGCCGTGCATGATCACGTGATGCTAGGTTGCACTCCACGTACTTGTCCCCCGGCGTGGCACAGCACATACACAAAAGAGTAGTCGGGCTGTCAACTCGGTCGGTTGAGCTGGGTCCAAAGCTGATCAGGCCAGCGCACTACAAAGAATAGAAATGGCAGGGGTGCAGGCAGGTATGTGTTGCTAAGACATTGCAAGTCAAAACTAGTTCAACAGAAGCATTTTATACCTTATGCCTTGCTTTGTGAGGGCAGGGCTGAAGGTAGGGCGTCGGCGGGTGATGAGGCCACCTTCGGTGTTGGTGATTCCTCTCGAGGGGAAACTTCTGGGGATTGTGTGATTCCCATGTTGAGATGCTTTCAATGTAGAGATAGTGAGGTTGCTGACATGGGTTTAGCGTAGTGAAGGTCCCAAGGGCCTTCCTGGGGACTGACCACTGGTGCTCACGTTAAACCCACCAGTACCTTTCCCGTATACTGGCCGCAGGCCTGAATTTGCCCTGCGCGCTTAGAGAAAAATGAACCGACCCGGACATATCTGCCTGCCACTGCTTGCTGTTTCGATTCCCCGCTGAACTTCCGTGTTAACCACCACAATATATTTTTTTTGAGGCGGGGAAATGTACCGGTGGTTACAGAGGTACGGGAACGGATGTTACCCTAGTTCGTGCTGAGGTCAGGAGAGGTACTGGAACGGGTATGTCATCCGAGCACGTGCCAAGGACTGTAGAGGTACTGGAATGGACGTCGCCCTGGCATTTGCATCCCTAAGGCTGCGGCATGCTTGGTTGCCGCGTCTGTGTCAAGGTGGCATGAATTTTTTGTGGCTGGTGACCAACTCTAAATGGGGTACAATTGGGGTCCAAGTTATGAGGTGACAGGTCCGCTGCATTCTTTTGTGGACGCCCGGTAACTAATTGGTTTTCCGGTACCTTTGAAGCGTGTAGGGCTGGTCCTGCCTCATGGCAGGAGGCCCAAAAGGGGATTTGGAGTCTTGGAACAGCAGAACTTTTTAGGCCACAAGATCTTTAACATCTGACAGTCGCCCATGGGCTTGGCCACAGGCGATTGGCAACTTTGGCGATTTTTGGTGATGGAAATAATTATTGAAAAAATATGAGAAAACTGAGGGACATATTTTTATTAATATTAATATTATTTTATTTTTTTTAAACAAGAAAGCACTTGGTTAAACCAAAAATGAGGCCGGGAATCCCTTGACAAACAACCCGGAATGGAGGAAATTCTGGGACCATTACCCAGCTTAGGTTCAGGCGTTGGGAGAGATTATCTAGGAACAGAAATGGCCAAATCCAGACCGCTGTCCCGTTATCTCCCCAACCCTGGACGAATAAAAAGCCGGCCAACATAACCTAGAAAGCCTCACAATCCCAAAATCCAAAAGTCATATCAACAAAAAAATCAGAAAAATTATCATCATGGCCTACAAATCCAAACAAACCTAAGCGACCAGAGTGGCCCGGGGCCACTTGCTCGGCCAGGCCAAAAAAAAAAAGAACTGAAAAAAGGAAAAAATATATATTTTTAATTTTATTTTTAGGCTAAATTTGGTAAAGAATTTCTTTTTCTTTTCTTTTTTTTTTTTCTTTTTTTTTTTTTACAAAATACAAATGTTATTTTTTAAAATTTCGATGTGACCCTGAGGCAAAAGTTGTTTGGTTATAATACCGGATGACTAAGGATCGACAACCTTGTTATTAGGGTTTGCAGTAACATTGTGGTCTGATCTTAGGGTTAGACCGGTGATGTCTAGTCCTTTGATGGGACCACTTACTTTTTGTAAGGGACGCCAGGTCCGTTTCCTGGCTTTTGAAATATAAGGGACGCCGGGCCCGGTTCCCGGTTTGTTAAAAAAAAAAACCTGAGGCAAAAGTTGTTCAGTTTATTTTTCTGCACAACGTGTTTTTTTTCGGATTTGTTTTTTTTTTTTTGTTTTTTTTTTTTTGTTTTTTTTTTGTGCTAGGATCTTCCCTGGTCCTTGCACGGCCGGGCCGTCCGGGAAAATAGGGTTACCCGGGCTGCCCGGCTGGTAGCCTAGAGACAAACCCAACAGTCTCCAGCATTCCTAGAATCGGAGCTAGACCCAGCTACAACCTATATACCAATGCCTACCCCACGTTAACCCCAATTGACCCAACAAATCGACAAGCCATGTCTAGACATGTCCTATATCCAACCTCAACTACTACATTTCAAGTCATGTTCCCCTAACACGGGGAAAGGGACAGAGTACGGAGAGTAGGCACCAACCACTAGTTCTCACTCCCTCCACGTCATCCCTCTGCCTGTCTCCTGCGACCAAAACCAACAACTGAGTGAGCTCGTTGTTCCAATCATACTATCATTTCAGAATCTACGAACCATGAATCCAACAGGGGGAGGAAAATGAAAGGGCGGGTATCTGTTGTGGCTGGCTAAGTCCTGAAACAGCCAGGAGTCTAAACACAGTCGGTTGTCTTCTTCTACCCTGCAAATTTTGCCATTTATGGCCCAGGTCTGTTTTGGTACCAGCTAATCCCTGCCTGGGAGTTCTGTACAGATGTTACCTTCCGTCTCCAGTCCGCCTGAATAGCACGTCTGAGGTGGAGCTTGAAGGACAGGCAAATTTGTTCTACCCTGCAAATTTTGCCATTTATGGCCCAGGTCTGCTTGAACCAGCTCATTCCTGCCTGGGAGTTCTGTACAGATGTTACGTTCTGTCTCCAGTCCGCCTGAATAGCACATCTGAGGTGGCACTTGAAGGACAGGCGAATTTGTTTGTTGGACCTGTCCTACTTTTCAAAGATCTGGTCAGTCCTGCCCTGCCCAATTACAGCGAAACACGCTGCTCGGGCAGACTGGGCCACGTAGCCCCAGCCTTTGGGGATTGGAACGTTTACTGGGAGGCCACCCAGAAGAGACCATTCTTTAGTCCATGGAAAAAAACTGCTGGAGATGCGATCCCACCGACTTATCCACCATTTCCATATCCCGGCTGAAGCAGGGCAATCCCACCATAAGTGTACTGTGGACTCGAAAGCCCATTGACACCGTATGCAGGTGAGGTTTATCTCCATTCCTCTTTCTGCTAACCACACCGTTGATGGGGTTGAGACGAGTGATACCAACCAGAGTAACGAAGCATGCCTTTGATTTG